GATTGAAATCTCCCACACATAGCCATGGATGACGATTACCCTTCGCTTGATCAATCAGGAGTTGCCAAAATTCCTTGTGCTGTGATCGATTAGGAGGGGCATAAACAAAGGAAATAGCCCAAGCCCGATCCAAATTGGTGTTACCAACAGTGCACTGTAAGAGGTGTTTGGATTTGAAACGAACATCCAGGTTAATCTCGTCCACCCACCAAGGAGCAAGCCCTCTAGAGATCCCAATAGGGTTAACATAAAAGCTATGCAAAAAGTGAAGTCTTCTACGAGTCCTCTCCAGTTTGGAGGCTTTATTTTTGGTTTCCATTAAGAACACCTCAGAGGGGCGATGGGTTGAGCACAACCCTTGGAGGATTCGGACTGTCAGGGGTCGCCCCAGCCCATGGCAGTTCCAGCTAAGAATCAACATGGGGCTTGTGGCTGTTGAGGGTCAGCCACCAGAACCCTACTAGCATTGGTCAGATCTGCAATCGGAAAACTGCTGGGAACTTGAGAACAATAGAACTCCCCGCCATCTTGACTACAGGAAATTGGGATTTGTACCAGAGCTTCATCATCTAAACTTTGCACCAAGCTAGACCCACTGTCGGCATACAAATCTTGTAGCGAGTCTTGCACAGTTCGTCTCCATCTGGAGTATGTTCTCTCTCTAGCAGTACGAGTAGGCTTTCCTTTTTTGTCTAAGACCACCACAACCAATCTTCGGTCTTCATAAATATTATCCGATTTAAAACGTTTGGTTGGGGCTTCTTCACACAGGTCATTAAGGGCCTTTTTTTTAATGGATAAGTCTTGGAAAAAAAACGCCATACTCTTATCAAGAGCCTAATCCATGAAAGAGAGTCTAGTTGGGCTAGAACTTGGGCTAATTTCCTCCATCCCAATGTCCTGAAGGGGCCTAGTTTCACTCCCACAATTGGGAGATAGCCTTATGAGGTTGTTGTTATCCAATGGCTTGGTGACAAAATACCTCGGCCTAGGTCCACAAAGAGAATGGGTTGAGGGCAGTAAGGCTTTACCTGATAAGAGTATCTTTAGTGGCCCCTATGTGAACTAGAGTTTGCTTTATTTCCTTCAGTTGAGTATTACTAACGTTCACCCCTGCAGCCTCAGCATGTGGCGAAGACGTGCCATCTGGACCATTACCCCTCCTTCTGACACCACATCTTGATTCAGAACTGCTGCCTAATCCTTATTGCCTGCCATGACTGGGTTGGATGTGCGCGTGGTGTCCTTGGAGGCCCCCGTACAAACAGGTTCCCATCGCTCCGGCAACGATCGGTTACCAACTAGGTTCCGCGTCCGTTCCTCCGCTTTGTCCACCTAATATCGAACCTCCTTCATTGGTATATCCAACATAGGGTCTCTATTGGTACGCAACTCGGGTCCATACCCAGATTTCTGGCTTTCCTCGCGGGACACAAATTTGCAGGAAGAGTTGTCGTGGCCTATCCTGTCGCAATCGTAGCAAAAATCAGATAATTTTTCATACTGGTAGGAGACCCATGAATCCTTTGCTTCAGACTCGGATTGATGTAAAATGAAGCCTAGAGGCAAAGGTTTAGTCACATCCACTTCCCCCCAGAGTCGAAGAAAACTCCGATTGATTAGGAGACCATGATGAAAGGCCTCAACTCTTATAAGATTCCCAATTCTCCGACCAATAATCTCACCATTCTGTCGTGTTAGTTTAGCCACTGGGATGCCATGAGCCTGAACCCAGAACGGGCTCTATTTGAACTCCATTTCTTTAACAGGCCTTCCAAGCAATAAAGGTTGCAGCACCAATAGGAAACCCATAACAGACCAAGGAGCCTCCCTCAGGGCTCGTTGAAGATCTTCCGCATCAGCAAATTGAAACATGAAAACATTATCGGACCACAGAGAGATCTCCCGTTTTGCCCGTGGTTTCCATGCTCGCATAAGGATATTGGTGACCGTTGACCTATTAAGGGATTTGGGGGCTTAAAACCTTCCCTATGAGACAGAGGTTCGAGATATTGACACATTCGTCGGACCCCTCCTGAAGTTTCACAAAATCCAAACCCTCCGTTGAAGCCAAGTGGTTAGACATCTGGACTCAAAGGTCGTTAAGAAGATAGAAGAAAAGAGAAGAAAGAAACCCCAATACTGCACTAGGGCAGTGGAACTCTCATTCTAGAGAGAGAAGAATTAAATACGCGACTTGAATTAAACTTTTCTACAGATTGATGTGACCTTTTGTAGTCATTTCGTTTTTTATCAAAACACGTATTTTTTTTTATAATAATTAGGTATCCCTTACCATTTCCAATACCCTTTTCATACAGGTTAGGCAAATCTTAAGTTATGCCTGATGGCATGACCCCAAAAGGATTGATAGTACTCATTCAAACTTTAAACTTGATGCTTTTGGACGCACTAAGAGCCAAATGGCTAACCATTGAGATTTTATATTTCTACACACCACATAATCTTAGTTCATGCTCTTAATTTTTGAATTTTTTTTAGATTAAAAGTTGATTTTCGAACAAAAGTATTTGGTGCGAAAATTAATTCCCAAACTAAAGATATAGACGAACCAAATAGTTTTGTTCGTAAGTTGATTCTCAAACTAGATAGTTTTATTCGTAAGTTGATTTTTGAATAAAAAAGATGTATGTGTGCACTGAGAGGAAATGACATAAAAAATAAAAGCTTTCTCTAACCCCCAATCCAAACCCTTTTGAGTTGTCAAAACACTTATTATTATTTTCATAATTTCAAAAATGTTATTAACATCTCATTTTAAATATGTTTTCTATATAGACTTGCTTTATGTTTGTAAACCATTTTTTCAATGACACTAGGATGAGAGGAGAAACAGAAGGCAGAAGCGGTGTTTTCCGAGACGGTGAATTTGACGGAGGCAATGCTGGAGAGTAAAGATGCGGCGGAGACAACATTGTGCCTTGCAAGTGATGAATCCAAATATGTGAGCGGTTTGAACCTTGTGGCTGATGGAGTGTATAACACAACCAATCCAACTTTTGGAGAGGCCATAAAGAAATTATCATCTTGAACCACTATTGCATCACAATGCATAAATAAGTGAGTGTTTGGAAAGTTGCTATTTTAGTAGGCTATTTTAGTTTTTGGCTATTTTAAGAGGCTAAAATTTTTGTGTTTGGGAAGATAATTGGATTTTTTTTATAGTTGGATGTGATGTTTGTGGGAGAAAAAGTGAAATAATTATGAGTTTGATGTGACATTTTATCTTATTAACTATTTTAGCCTATTTTATATTTTGGTGCTGTTTTATCCAAAAAAAAGCTAAAAAAGCTTCTTCCCAAAATGAATGATTTTGTAACTCAATTATGATTATCAAGATCAAATCATAGAATGGCATGACATTTTACCCAATTGACTGATCAATGATATTAAAATTGTGATTAACAATGTTAGGTAGCTCAAAATTTTGTGACCAAATGGTTCAAATCATTCAAAACGATGTCGTTTTGAGTGTAAATGAGTGTAAAACGATGTCGTTTTGATAAATTTGAGCCATTTGAGTCACAAAATTTTGAGCTACCAAACATTTTCCAATTGTGATTTAATTTTATTAACTATTAATTTTAGGCCAAGTATACTCTGTTTCCTATCCCAAAATACTTAATGGTTAGATTGAGAATACTAAAATATATGAATCTCTAGCCATAAACAAAGAACTGAAAGTGTTTTAATAAGTTATACAAATCAATTTATATTAACTTAATATAGATTTAAGATAAATTATATTCATACTTTATATATACAACAACAAATAAGGCAGACACTATGAAGTTGACAAAATTAACATAAAAGATAAGTTATTAAAAAAAATCATTAAAACATTCAATAATCAGAAACTAGAAACTTGGTAAAATTAGTATAACTGATAAATTTTCTTTGCAATTTATCCTAAAATTACAGATTTTTAAAAATATAAAAAGGTAAATTATGCTCACTTCCATCGAGATTTTAAAAAATATATATAATTAATCTCATATTTTTGACATAATTATACTAATTTTTATGGGTGCTGTTATGGTGTGGTTGCACACCATATGCAACCAACACAAAAGGTGTAAGTGGAAGGTGTAAACATAAAACAGGACAACAAACAGAAAGACGTAAGTGTAAGGTGTAAGTTGCACACTTAAGAAAAGTCCAATTTTTATTTGGTATTAGCAATCGAAACTAATGCTAATAGTGGATAGACATTGAAATAAACAAAAATAAATACATATTTTAATAAGAAATAAATATCATTTTTTCATTCATATGATTAATAAATTACTTATAAAAAAATGAAATATTATGCAAATTAAAAGTTAGTGTAATTATGTTTACTCAAAATAAAAATATTGAAAAAACAGTGTTGGGTCGGGCCGGGCCATTTCCCCATCCTCAGCTCTCACGTGATGTCCACGTGTTCAAAATGGAGTTTAGCAATCTATAGTTGAGTTGTATATTAATAATAATAATAATCTCTGATCCAACCAAGTCAAAAAAAGGTAATAAAACGAACCACCGCTCAAACCACCGCACACCAAGTCAGTGCCGCCACTCAAGTCAGCAGTGGCAGTCAATCAAACCACCACCCTTGTTTGGATGCGCGGCCCAATCCAACCCCGTTCACGATATCGTCTCCTCCCTAAGCGATGGCCTCTATCTTTAAAATTCAATAACATGTCATCACCACCACCACCACCACAAACCTCCACACACCACCACCACCAACCACCATGGTCACCTCCTCTTCTTCTCCTCAGGACCCACCAAAACCCCCCTCACGGTGGCTCCTTCCGCCCTGCTGGTCGCCAGACAAAACAGTGACCTTGATCGACGCTTACCGTGATAAATGGTACTCTCTCAAAAGAGGAAATCTTTGAGCCTCTCACTGGCAAGAGGTCGCCAACGATCTCTCATCCCGATGCCCGATCTCCACAGGAAAATTGCCCAAGACCTCCGTACAGTGCCGCCACAAGATGGAGAAGCTCCAGAAACGGTACCGGGCTGAGATTCAGCGTGCCCTATCGATGACCCCTAAAGGGCAACGTTTCAATTCCTCTTGGGTTCACTTCGATCGAATGGATTTGATGGAGAAGGGTCCGAATTCTGTCTCCGTCATGGTTGATTTGAGCCCTATTGATGAAGATGAAGATGATGATGATTATGAAGAGGATTTGTATCAGAGCGTGAAGCGTGGTGTTACTAAGAATCGGAGTGTTCATGGGTCGGCGAGCAATGGGATCGGTGGGTTTAGGATCAAAATTCCTGGTCGATCGAGTGTTGCAGTGGTTCCTGGGACAAAAAAAATCTTATCATAATCCTAACCCTAACCCTAATTTTGTGTCTACTAGGGTTGTGAGAGATGGATATTCAGAAAGGTTAGGGTTGGGGAAGAGAGGCGGTGGTGGTAGTGGTGATGAGGTGGGGATGAAGAGAGAGGGGGACCCGGTGGCGATTAAGGGATTGGGCGATGGGTTTGTGAGGATGGAGAAGATGAAGATGAAGATGGCGAGGGAAGTCGAGGCAATGCGAAGGGAGATAGAGATGAAGCGGACCGAGATGATTCTCCAATCACAGGAGCGGATTGTGGAGGCCTTTGGGAAGGCTTTATCGGAGAAGAGAAACAAGAAGTCTAAGAGAATGCCCACGCCAGAAGCTTAGATTTTGGGCTGCCATGGGAATTGCAGAGTTCATAGTTGGAAGATTCGGAGAAAAATGCATTTGCAGGTGTTGTGGAGCTCTCTGAAGCTGGCAAACTTGGGTTTGCATAGCTCTTATATGTAAGTTGTCTTTTTTGTAGCTTTGTCTCAATTGATTTTTAGGGTAATTGAACAATTGGAACTGAATAGTTGTAGCTTGTTTTGGATGAATGTAGGTTCATTTCAAACTTGACAATCAAAGAGTAATTTTATTGTTTTTGATTCTTTGTATGCAAGTTATGCTTTTTATCCAATTGCATTAGTTTGTGATAGCTACTTGACTGGAAAAAGAAAACTTGCAATTGATTTTGATGGTTGGAAATTGATTTAATGTCTATTGTTTTGGTACTTAGTTTGCTAGTATAACTGGAGTTGGGAGATAGAGGTTGGGATACAATACAGGAATTGAAATGGAAGATGTGATACTAAACTATGAAGCACGGACACAGACACGGACACGGACACGCATACGGACACGGACACGGACACGGGACACAGCAATTTTTAAAAAATAGGGACACAGACACGGTAGGGGACATGGCAAGGGACATGGTAGATTTTTTAATTTTTTATAAATATTTTTATTTTAATACACATTAATTATTTTATTTATTTATTATATTTTTTAAATAATGTGTTTCAATTAATTTTTTTATTTTATTTTACATATATGTGTTTATTTTTTTTATTAATATGTAAA